GGAGGCCAGTGGTTACGAGGCCGAAATTTTGCCACCTGATGGGCAGGCTGTATCCCTACTTTCTTTCTATGATAGCATCGTGAAACAGCACCCACCACGAGAACCAGAAAGACGTTCATCGCCGCAGCTACCTTCCCCATGCTCTTCATCTTCACATTACGCTTGTCGTTTAGAGCCGATATCTTCTCTATTTCATCCACCAAATTCCCCCTGTGCAAACTCACCTGTCGAGGCAGGACTTTTAATCCTTCCTGAAAACGCCCCCTTAAAGAGTGTGGAACCTCCATTAACCCCACGTTCTGTCGAATTGGAAGGCGTGCGTACCGGCTGTGGCGATACTGATCCTCCAACTCCGATGCTCGCATTCAGTGGAGCTTCGTCAGTGGGACCTGTTCAGTCGTCTCCACCACCGCGGCCGCCTTCAGCTAACTCTCCGTCAATGTACGAAGTAGTCACCGCTTGAAGAAAAAAAGACTGTCATTTCGTAACCCTGTTTGTGTTTCTGCTCCTCTCTTTCTCTCTCTCACCCTCACCGACCGCGTCTAGCCCAGGATCTCCTACGTGTAAATATTCTAGCAACATGTGAAGAAAAACAACTACCCTATACAGGACACAGAAACGTTTATTTTCAGCTCACACTGTCATAACCACCGCAGCACACACTCATTGGCTCCTCTTTACCCCTTGTCTCCGGTGATATTCTAGTTTCATCTACTTTCACACATGCGTATGCAGCCCTGTGATATTTCTGCCATAATTTTCCCCCTTAATATTCCCTCACACGCAACAAAAACGACTGGCGCCGGCATCACAATCAATTTTACCATATTTCTCTCTCTTTTTTCCTTCAATTTTTCCTTCATGCAAACCACCTTCGTTTGGTTGGTTTTGTACTTTTTCTAAGATGGCATCTGCATGCTTTGAGTCACAATATCTACCCCACTCTACTTCATTACATGCACAGTACTAATATATAATATCATTTGTGTTTAGCATGTTGATGCGTTCTTGCTGCTACTACTATTAGGGTTATTTGCTATGCTGGCTACGGAATTCTCCAATCGCACATCGTTACTTTGCAGGACTGGTCAGTTGGAAGGCAGGGGTTCATGGGGAGTGGGCGTACTTAGAGGTCACTGTTTGCAATATGACTACGCGATTTTTTTGCAGAATAATGATAGCCGAAGTTCCCCCTTTTATCTTCTGGGCCAGGACGGCCTCATAGTGAAACGGAAATGAACACAGTAGATACGTTGGTTAGCGTCAGGTTGCCCGGTGACACATTCAGTATCTGAAAGCCGCGCACATAGGACAAAATCAGCGTACAATATGGCAAGTGCAAAGTGTCCCAACTTTAGAAAGAATGGTAATCACTCGCAAATCAACAGTAAGTAGGGTTGCAATACTGATTATTGTACAGTCTAGTCTCAAGTCTTTTCGGTCATGACAGGATGCCGGCTCTTTAAGGGGCTTCCTTCTGGCTACTTACAAAAAGTAGATTCTGTAAAAAAATGGACTTTGACTGCCTTTATAAATTCAAATATATTTTATAGAAAAATCGCACGAAACTATTTTTTCTTGTACTCGTTGGGTAGGAGATTATGCCTTCTTTAAATTGTATACTTAAAGAAAGGGTGTCCTTTGGTTTTATGAAAATTTATAATTATAAAATTTTTTAAGACCGTGAGGTGCTCATTCATAATACATTGTATCCGTCAACTTAGTAATGCTGCCTATAATGTACATAGCATGATCCACATGTGTTGCAAAATTTTGTGAGAATTATGTGACCTCTTCCTCAAACCATTGGCAAAAAATTTTTTGCTTGAACAGAATGTAAACAGTAAGCTGTTTTTTTATGTTTAGGTATCCGGCAGACAGCTTGCAAGTACAAGTATGCTGTTTGGAAACCCTGCATTCAAATGTAGTGGTCAGTAAATTTCCAAATTATTCGGCAATTTAGAAACTTTTATACAGGCAGTCAAAATCAATGATAAAAATGCATACTATTTAAGTAGCCATTTTTTACAGAATCTTCTTTTTGTAAGCGGTCAGAAAGAAGTTCATTAGAAAGTCGACATCCTGACGCGACTGAAAGGACTTGAGATTAGATTGCGCGATAATCAGTATTGCAACCCTGATTAATGTTGGTTTGCGAGTAGTTGCCAGTCTTTCAAAAATTGCGGAATTTTGCTTGCAGCACTCGTCATACTGTAGATAGGTGTTCTGTGTTCGTTGCTCGCGGAAGAGCAAACCAGGTCGTGAGCCCTCACCCCTGAGAGAGGACACAGTGTGCGCCTTCCCAGCTATCAGACAGTGCCACTAAGGGCAATGGAATTAGTGGGTCATCAGTCAAAGATGGCCCAACCTCGAATGCCGATACACGCGAGGTTCTCGACCGGATTTGTTGGATCAACTAATATTTGCGGTCTGCCTCCTTCATTACCAAGTGATGAGGGTTTAGGTCCCAAACTGTATCGCTTCAAGTGCACCTAGGCCTTCCACTTCCAGGTTATATTTCATGTCACGAATAGTGCGACGGCCTTCGAGCTGGGGGAAGATGTTCACATTCAGCCTTGGAGATAGCTAGTGTCGGACACCCACAGGCTTACTAATCTCAAGTTACTGGACTGGCTCCCACTTGACAGACTAACGCGTCTACATCGCCCTTGCGGATAGGCAGGCGTGTGTCCAAAGCTAGTTACGCCTCGGGGGTTATGGTCTCCTCTTCTTCGAAACAGGATTGAGTCTTGGTTATTTATTTTGGTGGTTGAGGTGTACCCATTATCGTAGCCGTAACACCATCATCGCCTGCGGTGGGCAGTTTGTGGAGGGTTTATTTGCGCTTTCTGCTTGACCTTGCACTGGAAGGAATTTTGTCCAAACATGTGAACCAGATTACTGAAAAAAGTGATTGGGTTTGCTGTGTCGGCTGAAATGGTCTGAATTCCTTCCGTCTAATTATGTACTTCCGAAAGTACCCAATTCATCCGTAAGTACGTAGCCTAACTGTAGATAATGAACGACGTTTAGGTCTCTGGCTAATGCCTGAAGTCAAATTGGCCTGCCTCAACGCTACCTTCGATTTTGAAGGACGAAAATCCCCGCAAGGTAGCTCTGGACTTCAGGATTCGGATCCTTAGAAAATCGAATGAGTTGGAGAAGACATTAGAAAGTTCGGACGAAATATAATCTTAATGAATGCGTCAAATTGTTATTCTATTATAGAGCTGATTGCAGACAGAGGGACGATTTACGTTTCCGTTTATTGAAAATGGCGAGGAGACGGATGTTACACAGATATCACATGCCTAGCGAAGTGATGAAGACTTCAGTTAACAGCTGGCAGTTGGTGTCTTCTCGAAGAATTTCCTAAATTGGTCCAGGGTCATTCGTCCTTCGCAGCCGTGTTTGTCAAGGAACTACAAAACAAGCATAAATATTTAAAACTTCCACCAGAGTATTCCATTACTAAGTGCAGGAGGTGGTTAACCCAACAAAAATTAAGGGCATTTAATAAAGCATCCTTTCTGAACTGTGATCTTAGAATAAATGGGCTATTGACCTATCATCATCATCATCATCATC